TGTGGAAGGAAGAGAAGCGACACACAAAATGAGGTCTTCTCGTTTAATAGTATAGATGCTACATGTATCTGAATGTTGATTTGAGAGTAAGCATGTAATCCTCCGGAATGAGAATGATGTTTATGAGTGCACGTGTGGTTCTGGTGTCTGATGACTTTTGTACAATTATAATGTGTTCTATGATTATTGAAGTACATATAATGATATGTACTGTCTATACACAATGTTTATCTTTATCTGTGTTTTCATCTTTTACTTCTTTACTAGAAAAAAAAAATTCTGTGTTTAAGTGAATCACGGTTTTCTTTCCATATACAAATAAGATGATGTGGTGTGATCAACTATCCTCATACTTTTTTACGACTGTACTTCGCTCGCCAAGATATTTTACAGCTTTCAATCTAAATTCCTTCTACCCAATAGAAGACATTCATTGCTTATGTTTTAAAATCCTTTATGACTTTTAATTTAATTTATGCTATAGAATTATCTTTGTTTACATAGTCTCTGCAACTTCTCTTTTGTGAATATCAATACAGAAAACGAGTATTCGGGCCACTTATACAAAATTTAATTGAAGCGCTTATGTGCAGCTTAAACCTTAATATGAGTAAGTTTCTGTTAATAGAGTTAAAAAAAAACAAGATATATGGACGAGATTCAAGAAATATTTTGTAAAAGAATTCTTGTGGTAAAATGATTATAAAGTTACTAGAACGTTAATGAAAATAATTTTAACGTTACGCGCAAACGGCTAAAATACCATTGTACCTTGGTCTTTTCTGACGCCCTGGAAAATTATACAAACACAGTTACAAGTCTAATGGTTATCGTTGTATGAACTACACTAGTTAGTGATCCTTCTGCAGTAATTTCGTCAATTTCTGGGACAGGGCCGTTTTTAACCCTTCGTGGCCCTACTCCTTTGATTTTACCACATGGTTGTATCTCATTTCTTTAGGTAGTACATTGTATTTGGAAAGGTAAGTTTTTTAGAATTGGACTGATTTTAGCAAAACGATGTTGAACCCGTTTGTAATATCTGCACGACCTATCTAGATTCGAATTTTACCATTCGACTTTTGAACAGTCCTACAAGTTTGAATTTGGTGAGACGTTCTTCATAGCAGAAAATAAGATATGTTGGCTCTAATTGCGAACGGTACGAAAATACAAAAATAATTGAATCACTAAACTATTGAATACAACCGATAAAAACAGTGTCCAAACGTACACAAGTACTATATCAAGGGAATCTTTTATTTTTTCCGATACAATAACGCTAATATGGAAACGTTCAAAGAAAAACATATAAGAATGCAATCAACTGGGGATACAGAAAAAGTACCAGGCCTCTTTTGTCAACAGATTAAACGAATATATGTACTTCCCGTAACACTCTATTAAACATAGCACTTTAATTCAAACAATATCAAGTGAAATTTGGCGGAATTTCTCTTCAAAAACTAAATATGCAGCTTATGTAATTTCGAACAAGCAACAATTATCTATGTTGTATTAACTGAAATGGACAAACTTATACATATATGTTTTTTTAATAGTTTGATTAATGTGTCTGTTTAAGAAAGTGAAAAAGTGTCGTAGTAAGTGTTAAATGAAAAGAATTCAATTTAACAACATTAGTGAACTCTTTGTAATTCAGGTGGATTTTATAAATACAAATAACATATCTTACAGTTTTCAATTGAAATGATTGTCTTTATATTTTATTGTTCCTGTACACCATAGATTCGATACTATTTAGAATTTATACATAGCTAAATTTATATATTCTTAATTACAACACGATGAGTGCAATATGTAGTGCAGAATCTGATACCCTTCCAGCGTACTTGAGATCAACCACAGTGTTTTGTGGGGGTCGTGTTGGTTAGTCTTTTGTTTTCTATGTTTTGTTTTGTGTACTTTGGTTTTTTGTCTTTTTCGTTTTACACATGGTTTTGTCCCTTTATTTTCGACTTGTGATTTTGAATGATCCTTTGGTATCCTCCGTCTCTCTTTAATAAAAAAAAACATGATATCAACTTTAAAATGAATGTTAGTACATTATAATTTTCTATCAGTTCCTCTTATTATCATCTCAAACTTCTCAAATGTTACTATAACTTTTTGTGTCGTAATATTTCCTATCACAATATTCGAGTGATATTGGGTTTTTTGCAGTTGGGTAGAAAGATAATGTATGACGTGATAAGCCTACGTCATTGACGTATACATTAGTTTGATACTTTGGTCAGGGGAAAAATGTGTAATTGCTTTTCTTCGGTAGATTTTTGAATTATCCGTTCTGATGGTCACATATGTGGTGTTCCCATTGGAGAAAGAGCTGGTAGACTTTACCATATTTTTTTTTGGGTGATAATTTAACTTTTTGTACACCAAACGTTGTCATATGCGAAGGTTTCTTTTTCATAGAATAATGATTGTCTCTAACCACTTGTGTTATCAATATGAAGTATTAGAAGAAATGACTGGATATCTTTTTATATTCAGACATTTAAACAAAAATTAAAGATTCAAATGCACATGGCCGCTTCTGGTTAATTTTTAAGATACTTTTGCTATATCTGAACACAACTCGTCCTTTTTCATTTTTCGACATTAAAAAAGAGGAACGATAAGATTAATTAGAATTACGTTTTTAGATGCATTTTTCTATTGTCAGTTGTTGCAATGATAAAATACCTTATAATGGTCACCATTCAATAATACCAGATAGTAATTTCTCTGACGGTTTGCCACTGTTTGCAGGTGTGTATGTACTCGATCAAGTTTTTATTAAATTACTGTTTTAGTCCTGATGACAATCGATATACTGTAATATTACACATGCATTATATAAGTGATGGAGACTGATTTGCCATACTTGAGATGAAAAACACAAACCCTGACAAAATAGTGAGTGACAAGTTATTTCAGGTAAAGATACGTCATCGTCGTCCGTTTCTATGTTTTTGGCGTTTGTTTTTATTGCAGTTCAGTGTTTCTGTTGTTGCGTTGTTTTCCTCTTATACATGTAGCTGCTGTTTTCCCTCGGTTTTAGTTTGTAACCCGGAATTGGTTTTCGCTTAATCGATTGATGACTATTGAACAGCGGAATATTACTGTTGCCTTTAATATACTAAAACAACAACATTGTGCTGATTTGAATCTAGTAAATCGATTTAATATACCTTGTATAAATGGATGCATGGGACTTGTAAAAACTGTATATTTGGCACACACTGATAACTTATAACATAATTCAAGGCATTAACTTTCAGACCCTAAAATAAGATAATAGAAGCAAATATTATGAATATCTTTGTTTCAGAAACATAAGTGGGTAAAGTAACAAGCATTAGTTACTGCAATTGTTAAACAATCATAGCAAATACTAAACTTAATTGTTTTCATCGCGTTTTCAAAATGAACTATAATTTACGGTTAGGCATTTGTGAAGTTCGTTTAAAAGAAATGTTTATTAGCAAATGACGTTCCTACACCAATGACAATAATATAAAGCAGTGACGTATCCACAAAAATAAACAAATTTATTCCCACAAAGCTGTATCGAGCTTGTTTCACGCAATGAACTCAACAACTCTGACATTTAACACATGCTAATGAAAATAACACTTTATTAAATTCCGGAGTACAAAACCTTTTTCGGGGTTTACGGTCATCATACACGCTACACGTTCAAACCCCAAAATCTAAAAGACAGGAAGGAATTAATAACTGGATATGTGAGGAGTTATATTGTTTAATGAGTAAAATTGAGAATGGAAATGGGGAATATGTCAAAGTGACAACAACCCGACCAAAGAGCAGACAACAGCCGAAGGCCACCAATGGGTCTCTAACGCAGCGAGAAAATCTTGCACCCAGAGGTGGTCCTGAGCTGACCCCTGAATAAAAATGTGTACTAGTTCAGTGAAAATGGACGTCACAATAAACTCCAAAACATATAAATGAACTAAAATTAAAAAACATACAAGACTAACAAAGGCCAGAGGCTCCTGACTTGGGACAGGCGCAAAAATGCGGCGGGGTTAAACATGTTTTGTGAGATCTCAACCCTCCCCCTATACCTCTAGCCAATGTAGAATAAAAAACACATAGCAATACGCAAAGTAAAACTCAGTTTAAAAGAAGTCCGAGTCCGATGTCAGAATAGGTAACAAAACAAACTAAGCAAAATGACAATGATACATACATTAACAAAGGACTACTAGCAATTACTGACATGCCAGCTCCAGACCTCAATTAAACTGATTGAAAGATTATGTCTTCATCATATGAAAATCAAGTACAAACCCTTCCGTTAGGGGTTTAGTATCATACAATCATAAAATATATGAGAAGAACATAACCCGTGTCATGTCAACAACTGGTTTTAGAATAATAGTGTTTATTTCCGATGCAAAGACCCTATGAGTGAATCAATATTAATACCAAAATATGCAATCCTTAATGACCTGACAACAGTATCGTAACTATATCCTTTCCGAATAAGCTTTTGAGGTGAATGCCGACATTTTTGTGCTTTGTATTCTACTACAGATGTACTTACATGGACTAACATTATTACGGACGATTTTTCAGTGCAAACAAATAGAATATGTTGATACTCAATTAATAAGTGTAACGTGGTAATTCTGAGTATACATAAAGATAATTAATCCAATGTGTATAAACATCACTGGTCAGTTGTAAAGCTACAGGTTTGGTATCCAATTTATCTTATTTTTTAGAAAAAAAAACACCCCAGAAATATGTTGATAGGGACAACGTAGACATGGTTACTTACGTAAGCAGTTAATATAGTGCCAATGGTAGATTAAGAGGCATTTGTGATTGATTAATATGTCGCTAAATATCTACCTTACATTGTTGGCTAACGATATTTTCTGTCATAGTTCAATTCTCTTTATAAAGTCGTTCATTTCATATACTTTTATATAATTACTATGAAAGTTGCTACCTTTCTATTTCAGGACGGTGACACTCCCTTACACGTTGCGGCCCGAAAAGAATCACATAATATAGTCCAACTGCTTCTAGAAAGAACAGATATAGATCCAAATAAAGGAAATAAGGTAATGAATATAGCTCGAACCAGGATTGTTAACCATTGATACATAGGACTTGACAATGTTGACAAAATTCGTACATATCTTTGCTATTTACTTGGACATTCGTTCCTTATGTTATTGACACTTATATTGGAAAAAAGGATTTAAACAGAACTATAGAAAGTTAATAAGTTAAACATCTGTTTCTTTGTTGTTTTGTTTTTTAAGTTCTTTTGTTAATTCCCTAGATGAAGGTTTTTAATTTCTCATTCGCGAAACCAATTTGTGATTTACATGCGTCTTCTGCTATGTTAGATTTCCCAACACATTTGTAAAAATAAAGTATATTCAGTTGTAAGTCATATACATATAACATTTTTCTACAAGTGCGGTGGTAAAAGTGATTTTAAAAGCCCATTTTGTTTGTATTTTCCTATTTATCTTTTCAGATTAATTGTAATAGGTTTTCATACATTCATTTGATGAACCTATTTATGAGAACTACATGTCTACTGCTATGTCCTGTGGACAGAAATATTTATAAAAATAACATATCAATCCCTTTAGGTATTCGAGCTGTTGTGAAAATATCTTTTGTTTTATTTGATCTGTAATTAGTTTTTGAATGGCGTATGCGGTCTCACTTAAATTTTTTGCTTTTCATTATTCTGTCCATTGTAAATTAACACTTATTGCATTAAAAAAAAAACATGAAATTAATTTCGTCAATAAATGTTCTAATATTTCGTATTATCAAAGCACTAGTTAGCTTTTGATTTTTTGTGATAGTTTTTTTGTATCACGCTATTAGGATGATATTGGGTTTTCGCGGTCGAGTAGAAAGATAAAACATGATGTTAAAAGCATGCGTCATTGAAGCTTCACCAGAAAATAGCGAAAAATATATTACAAATGGTCTTTTAACCTCGAGTATTTGCATTCGCTTCATCTGATCTCAGTGCTCTCAAGTTGCCTTCTTTGCAATAAAATACAATTTGGATTATTAGAAAGGACTTTTTTTTTTTAAAAGTACTTGTACATATAATATGTTTATTTCTTTATAATGTTATAAATGCAGCAATCTTGTCCTTTTCGTGACTATCAAAAGCTATTAGAACTGTAGAATATCTCTGTCCAATCAGTTTTTTTTTTATCTCCAGCTAAAAGTATACCCCATTATTTTGTTACCCTTTGAATCTATATTAGTTCTTTTGAGTTAATAAATACATATCCTGAGATCCACATAAACTATAACAGCAATAATTTAGCGAATAAAGGAAGACATTAATGATTAGATTATTCAAATCATATAGCTTGCACAGTTATATTTCATAAATGTTGTAGAATATTATTCTTTGTTTGTAACTTGCAAAGAGAAAATGTTTGCACTGTCTGATATACGGTTATTTATAAAAACATACATTAATTTTAAAAGTTTTAAATATGATGGGTGTATTCTTTCTTTTGCGTGCCCTTCCGGATCACCTAAGACATCCACTAATATTTTGGTGAGGTTCGTGTTGCTCAATTTTTAGTTTTCTATGTTTGGTGAAACTGTGTTATTTTTTTTTTGTCGTTTATCGTTTCCCATGGCGTTGTCAGTTTTTCTACGACTAATGAGTTTGAATATCCATTTGATATCTTCCGCATATATTTTGACTCAACACAAAGAATGCATGACTTAACTCTTTTTAATTTTTTTTTGCTGTTGGTCAAAAAGTTTCCTGTACATATCTACAGATAGGATCAGTCCCACCTGCACAAAAGTTAACTTGGAGCAGACTTATCGACAGCTTTTCAAGTTTACTTAATAAATTTAAAACAGACAATCATGTTAACTTCATCAAATCATGCTGACTGTCCTCCTTGAACTTATAAATTTGATGTTAACCTCCAGGGTTTGATCTCATTTCTTTACGTAGTACAATGTATTAGGAAAGGTAAGATCTTTACAATTGAACTGATATTAGCATAACGATGTTAAACTCGTTTGTAATATCTGCACGACTTATCTAGTCCTTCGCATTTTACCTTCAACTTTTAAAAAGTCCTACAAGTTTAAATTTAAAACTGGCGAGACGTTTTTCAAAGTAGAAAACAAGATATGTTGGCTCTAATTGAGAACATTACAAAGATGAACAAAAATGTATCACGAAAATATTAAGTATGGCTCCACCTAAGAATCATGCAGAGGGTGATACAGTGATAGTTGTTAAATTGGCTTTTTGGGGCTTCATATGTTCTATTTTGATAGAAAACTCAAAAAAATAACAGAAACACATGTGTTGTACATGTGGTTGCTATGGTTACAATGGCACAATAACAACCCTTTGATTTCAGTCCCAAAACCTCAAAAATTTCCGTTTTTCATCACAGTTTTTTTTATAAACTGCTAATCTTTTTCGATAAAACAAATACATATTATCATAGTTCCACATTTGTTATAATATTAAAAAATAAAGTTGATAAACAGAAGTTGCAACTATGAAAACTCTTGTATCGATGGCAACAAATTGTAGCAGTTTTTCATTTTCTTAAAAGGAGTGAAAATAACGTGTTTCCAATTCTATGTTCTTCCAAGAACAGGGTCCCATGAATAACCTGTGTGTTTGCATTTGTTCATTGGACCTTTGACTATAACATATCAAAAATAATCGTTTGTAGCCTCTTTTAGATTTTTGGGGAAAAAAAAGTTTTGTCTTATTTTTTTTTTTTTTACAGTAAGCTAAATTATTTTTATGTATTCATAGCACAATTCATTTGATTATGGCTTTTTAACTTTTATTATATCTAAACATTATAACAAACTAAAGAAAACAGAAACTTATTTATCTTGAACCTCAAATCAAACTAACAGTTTCCATGGAAACAGAACACACCGATTTTTAGAAATACACATTTTTAATAAATGTATGCTTTATAATGATAAAATATTTAATCACGCATTTTATTTCTGTATTTTTCCCATCAAGTATCATCAAATTATTCAAAATAAAGAAATTAAGTTGAAAAGTAAATTTGGTTGCCATGGAGACAAATGCCTAGATTTTCTAAATTTTCAATTTAAATCACCTAAACAATATTTGTTCAAGCTATCATTTTCTGGGAAAACAAATCATTGTTAGGAGCATAAATATTCAATATTGACTCTATACTTTCAAATAACCCTTTAAACATATTTGTCACCCCCTTTCTGGATGTTAACTCTGACAGTATCAGCTCTATAATAAATAAATGAAAGCATTTTGGATATGTTTGTAGTGCAGGGATAATACCCTTCGAATTATTGAAATATGTTCTTAAAATTTTAGGGGAATTCAATGTTACCTTTGGAAAGGGGGAATGTATGAACCCTATCACTTTAGTATTTAGTTAATTCTGTCAAGATAAAGCTTACTACTGTTTCTAAAAAGGAGAACAAATAGGTTCCTCTATAGGAGCAGAATACCTAACTGACTCAATGGTGAAACGCTAAATTTCAATGTTAATGTCATGGACTGAAAATGTTATACTACATGTATCTCATCAACTTAACATTTTTTAAAGATCCATGACAATGAGGTCAAGGTCAGATAAATCCTGTCAGACAGACATGTACACCTTACAATTATTCAGTACATGAATATAGTTTTTTTTTGCTTTTGGTAATTGCTTATGGTAATTGAAAAACAGACCAAAACGCAAAACTTAACATTGACCAATGAATCATGAAAATGAGGTCAAGATCAGATCAAACCTACAAGACTGACACGTACCCCTTACAATCATACCATATAACACATACATTTGACCTACTCCTTATAGTATCTGAGAAAAGGACCTAATCAGCTTACTTAAACCTTGATCACTGATCCATGAAATGGAGACGTTCAAAGAAAAATATATAAGAATGCAATCAACTGGGGATACAGAAAAAGTACCAGGCCTCTTTTGTCGACAGATTAAACGAATATATGTACTTCCCGTAACACTCTATTAAACATAGCACTTTAATTCAAACAATATCATGTGAAATTTGGCGGAATTTCTCTTCAAAAACTAAATATGCAGCTTATGTAATTTCGAACAAGCAACAATTATCTATGTTGTATTAACTGAAATGGACAAACTTATACATATATGTTTTTTTAATAGTTTGATTAATGTGTCAGTTTAAGAAAGTGAAAAAGTGTCGTAGTAAGTGTTAAATGAAAAGAATTCAATTTAACAACATTAGTGAACTCTTTGTAATTCAGGTGGATTTTATAAATACAAATAACATATCTTACAGTTTTCATTTGAAACGATTGTCTTTATATTTTATTGTTCCTGTACACCATAGATTCGATACTATTTAGAATTTATACATAGCTAAATTTATATATTCTTAATTACAACACGATGAGTGCAATATGTAGTGCAGAATCTGATACCCTTCCAGCGTACTTGAGATCAACCACAGTGTTTTGTGGGGGGCGTGTTGGTTAGTCTTTTGTTTTCTATGTTTTGTCTTGTGTACTTTGGTTGTTTGTCTTATTCGTTTTACACATGGCTTTGTCCCTTTATTTTCGACTTGTGATTTTGAATGATCCTTTGGTATCCTCCGTCTCTCTTTTAACATTTTAAACAGTTTCCTGTTGCAATGATTGTCTTTATATTTTATTCTTCCTGTACACCATTGATTCGATACTATTTGAACTTTTGTATGGCTATATGTATTATTTTAAATTACATCTAATTGATTTATTTTGAATCTTTAACTGTTACCTTGAGGATAATTTTGCTTTAAATTGTAAATTAAACATCTATGTCATTAATAAAAAAAACATGATATCAACTTTAAAATGAATGTTAGTACATTATAATTTTCTATCAGTTCCTCTTATTATAATTTCAAACTTCTCAAATGTTACTATAATTTTTTGTGTCGTAATATTTCCTATCACAATATTCGAGTGATATTGGGTTTTTTGCAGTTGGGTAGAAAGATAATGTATGACGTGATAAGCCTACGTCATTGACGTATACATTAGTTTGATACTTTGGTCAGGGGAAAAATGTGTAATTGCTTTTCTTCGGTAGATTTTTGACTTATCCGTTCTGATGATCACATATGTGGTGTTCCCATTAGAGAAAGAGCTGGTAGACTTTACCATATTTTTTTTGGATGATAATTTAACTTTTTGTACACCAAACGTTGTCATATGCGAAGGTTTCTTTTTCATAGAATAATGATTGTCTCTAACCACTTGTGTTATCAATATGAAGTATTAGAAGAAATGACGGGATATCTTTTTATATTCAGACATTTAAACAAAAATTTAAGATTCAAATGCACATGGCCGCTTCTGGTTAATTTTTAAGATACTTTTGCTATATCTGAACACAATTCGTCCTTTTTCATTTTTCGACATTAAAAAAGAGGAACGATAAGATTAATTAGAATTTAGTTTTTAGATGCATTTTCTATTGTCAGTTGTTGCAATGATAAAATACCTTATAATGGTCACCATTCAATAATACCAGATAGTAATTTCTCTGACGTTTTGCTACTGTTTGCAGGTGTGTATGTACTCGATCAAGTTTTTATTAAATTACTGTTTTAGTCCTGATGACAATCGATATACTGTAATATTACACATGCATTATATAAGTGATGGAGGCTGATTTGCCATACTTGAGATGAACAACACAAACCCTGACAAAATAGTGAGTGACAAGTTATTTCAGGTAAAGATACGTCATCGTCGTCCGTTTCTATGTTTTTGGCGTTTGTTATTGTTGCAGTTCAGTGTTTCTGTTGTTGCGTTGTTTTCCTCATATACATGTAGCTGCTGTTTTCCCTCGGTTTTAGTTTGTAACCCGGAATTGGTTTTCGCTTAATCGATTGATGACTATTGAACAGCGGAATATTACTGTTGCCTTTAATATACTAAAACAACAACATTGTGCTGATTTGAATCTCGTAAATCGATTTAATATACCTTGTATAAATGGATACATGGGACTTGTAAAAACTGTATATTTGGCATACACTGATAACTTATAACATAATTCAAGGCATTAACTTTCAGACCCTAAAATAAGATAATAGAAGCAAATATTATGAATATCTTTGTTTCAGAAACATAAGTGGGTAAAGTAACAAGCATTAGTTACTGCAATTGTTAAACAATCATAGCAAATACTAAACTTAATTGTTTTCATCGCGTTTTCAAAATGAACTACAATTTACGGTTAGCATTTGTGAAGTTCGTTTAAAAGAAATGTGTATTAGCAAATGACGTTCCTACACCAATGACAATAATATAAAGCAGTGACGTATCCACAATAATAAACAAATTTATTCCCACAAAGCTGTATCGCGCTTGTTTCACGCAATGAACTCAACAACTCTGACTTTTAACACATGCTAATGAAAATAACACTTTATTAAATTCCGGAGTACAAAGCCTTTTTCGGGGTTTACGGTCATCATACACGCTACACGTTCAAACCCCAAAATCTAAAAGACAGGAAGGAATAAATACCTGGATATGTGAGGAGTTATATTGTTTAATGAGTAAAATTGAGAATGGAAATGGGGAATATGTCAAAGAGACAACAACCCAACCAAAGAGCAGACAACAGCCGAAGGCCACCAATGGGTCTCCAACGCAGCGAGAAAATCTCGCACCCAGAGGTGGTCCTGAGCTGACCCCTAAATAAAAAATGTGTACTAGTTCAGTGAAAATGGACGTCACAATAAACTCCAAAACATATAAATGAACTAAAATTAAAAAACATACAAGACTAACAAAGGCCAGAGGCTCCTGACTTGGGACAGGCGCAAAAATGCGGCGGGGTTAAACATGTTTTGTTAGATCTCAACCCTCCCCCTATACCTCTAGCCAATGTAGAATAAAAAAACACATAGCAATACGCAAAGTAAAACTCAGTTTAAAAGAAGTCCGAGTCCGATGTCAGAATAGGTAACAAAAGAAACTAAGCAAAACGACAATGATACATACATTAACAAAGGACTACTAACAATTACTGACATGCCAGCTCCAGACCTCAATTAAACTTATTGAAAGATTATGTCTTCATCATATGAAAATCAAGTACAATCCCTCCCGTTAGGGGTTAAGTATCATACAATCATAAAATATATGAGAAGAACATAACCCGTGTCATGTCAACAACTGGTTTTAGAATAATAGTGTTTATTTCCGATGCAAAGACCCTATGAGTGAATCAATATTAATACCAAAATATGCAATCCTTAATGACCTGACAACAGTATCGTAACTATATCCTTTCCGAATAAGCTTTTGAGGTGAATGCCGACATTTTTGTGCTTTGTATTCTACTACAGATGTACTTACATGGACTAACATTATTACGGACGATTTTTCAGTGCAAACAAATAGAATATGTTGATACTCAATTAATAAGTGTAACGTGGTAATTCTGAGTAAACATAAAGATAATTAATCCAATGTGTATAAACATCACTGGTCAGTTGTAAAGCTACAGGTTTGGTATCCAATTTATCTTATTTTTTAGAAAAAAAACACCCCAGAAATATGTTGATAGGGACAACGTAGACATGGTTACTTACGTAAGCAGTTAACATAGTGCCAATGGTAGATTAAGAGGCATTTGTGATTGATTAATATGTCGCTAAATATCTACCTTACATTGTTGGCTAACGATATTTTCTGTCATAGTTCAATTCTTTTTATAAAGTCGTTCATTTCATATACTTTTATATAATTACTATGAAAGTTGCTACCTTTCTATTTCAGGACGGTGACACTCCCTTACACGATGCGGCCCAAAAAGAATCACATAATATAGTCCAACTGCTTCTAGAAAGAACAGATATAGATCCAAATAAAGGAAATAAGGTAATGAATATAGCTCTAACCAGGATTGTTAACCACTGATACATAGGACTGGACAATGTTGCCAAACTCGTACATATCTTTGCTATTTACTTGGACATTCGTTCCTTATGTTATTGACACTCATATTGGAAAAAGGATTTGAACAGAACTATAGAAAGTTAATAAGTTAAACATCTGTTTCTTTGTTGTTTTGTTTTTTTAGTTCTTTTTTTAATTCCCTAGATGAAGGTTTTTAATTTCTCATTCGCGAAACCAATTTGTGATTTACATGCGTCTTCTGCTATGTTAGATTTCCCAACATATTTGTAAAAATAAAGTATATTCAGTTGTAAGTCATATACATATAACTTTTTTCTACAAGTGCGGTGGTAAAAGTGATTTTAAAAGCCCATTTTGGTTGTATTTTCCTATTTATCTTTCAGATTAATTATAATAGGTTTTCATATATTCATTTGATGAACCTATTTATGAGAACTACATGTCTACTGCTCCGTCCTGTGGACAGAAATATTTATAAAAATAAAATATCAATCCCTTTAGGTATTCGAGCTGTTGTGAAAGTATCTTTTGTTTTATTTGATCTGTAATTGGTTTTTGAATGGCGAATGCGGTCTCACTTAAATTTTTTGCTTTTCATTATTCTGTCCATTGTAAATTAACACTTATTGCATTAAAAAAAAAAATGAAATCAATTTCGTCAATAAATTTTCTAATATTTCGTATTATTAAAGCGCTAGTTAGCTTTTGATTTTTTGTGATAGTTTTTTGTATCACGCTATTAGGATGATATTTGGGTTTTCGCGGTCGAGTAGAAAGATAATATATGGTGTTAAAAGCATGCGTCATTGAAGCTTCACCAGAAAATAGCGAAAAATATATTACAAATGGTCTTTTAACCTCGAGTATTTTGCATTCGATTCATCTGATCTCAGTGCTGTCAAGTTGCCTTCTTTGCAATAAAGTACAATTTGGATTATTAGAAAGGACTTTTTTTTTAAAAGTACTTGTACATATAATATGTTTATTTCTTTATAATGTTATAAATGCAGCAAACTTGTCCTTTTCGTGACTATCAAAAGCTATTAGAACTGTAGAATATCTCTGTCCAATCAGTTTTTTTTTTTATCTCCACCTAAAAGTATACCCCATTATTTTGTTACCCTTTGAATCTATATTAGTTCTTTTGAGTTAGTGAATACATATTCTGAGATCCACATAAACTATAACAGCAATAATTTAACGAATGAAGGAAAACATTAATGATAAGATTATTCAAATCATATAGCTTGCACAGTTATATTTCATAAATGTTGTAGAATATTATTCTTTGTTTGTAACTTGCAAAGAGAAAATGTTTGCACTGTCTGATATACGGTTATTTATAAAAACATACATTAATTTGAAAAAGTTTTAAATATGATGGGTGTATTCTTTCTTTTGCGTGCCCTTCCGGATCACCTAAGACATCCACTAATATTTTGGTGAGGTTCGTGTTGTTCAATTTTTAGTTTTCTATGTTTAGTGAAACTGTGTTATGTTTTTTTTTGTCGTTTATCGTTTCCCATGGCGTTGTCAGTTTTTCTACGACTAATGAGTTTGAATATCCATTTGGTATCTTCCGCATATATTTTGACTCAACACAAAGAATGCATGACTTAACTCTTTTTAATTTTGTTTTGCTGTTGGTCAAAAAGTTTCCTGTACATATCTACAGATATGATCAGTCCCACCTGCACAAAAGTTAACTTGGAGCAGACTTATCGACAGCTTTTCAAGTTTACTTAATAAATTTAAAACAGACAACCATGTTAACTTCATCAAATCATGCTGACTGTCCTCCTTGAACTTATAAATTTGATGTTAACCTCCAGGGTTTTATCTCATTTCTTTACGTAGTACAATGTATTTGGAAAGGTAAGATCTTTACAATTGAACTGATATTAGCATAACGATGTTAAACTCGTTTGTAATATCTGCACGACCTACCTAGTCCTTCGTATTTTACCTTCAACTTTTAAAAAGTCCTACAATTTTAAATTTAAAACTGGCGAGACGTTTTTCAAAGTAGAAAACAAGATATGTTGGCTTTAATTGAGAACATTACGAAGATGAACAAAAATGTATCACGAAAATATTAAATAACAGTAACTTATTTATCTTAAACCTCAAATCAAACTACCAGTTTCCATGGAAACAGAACACACCGATTTTTAGAAATACACATTTTTAATAAATGTATGCTTTATAATGATAAAATATTTAATCACGCATTTTATTTCTGTATTTTTTCCATCAAGTATCATCAAATTATTCAAAATAAAGAAATTAAGTTGAAAAGTAAATTTGGTTGCCATGGAGACAAATGCCTAGATTTTCTAAATTTTCAATTTAAATCACCTAAACAATATTTGTTCAAGCTATCATTTTCTGGGAAAACAAATCATTGTTAGGAGCATAAATATTCAATATTGACTCTATACTTTCAAATAACCCTTTAAACATATTTGTCACCCCCTTTCTGGATGTTAACTCTGACAGTATCAGCTCTATAATAAATAAATGAAAGCATTTTGGATATGTTTGTAGTGCAGGGATAATACCCTTCAAATTATTGAAATATGTTCTTAAAATTTTAGGGGAATTCAATGTGACCTTTGGAAAGGGGGAATGTATGAACCCTATCACTTTAGTATGTAGTTAATTCTATCAAGATAAAGCTCACTACTGTTTCTAAAAAGGAGAACAAATAGGTTCCTCTATAGGAGCAGAATACCTAACTGACTCAATGGTGAAACGCTCAATTTCAATGTGAATGTCATGGACTGAAAATGTTATACTACATGTATCTCATCAACTTAACATTTTTTAAAGATCCATGACAATGAGGTCAAGGTCAGATAAATCCTGTCAGACAGACATGTACACCTTACAATTATTCAGTACATGAATATAGTTTTTTTTTTTGCTTTTGGTAATTGCTTAAGGTAATTGAAAAACAGACCAAAACGCAAAACTTAACATTGACCAATGAATCATGAAAATGAGGTCAAGATCAGATCAAACCTACAAGACTGACACGTACCCCTTACAATCATACCATATAACACATACATTTGACCTACTCCTTATAGTATCTGAGAAAAAGGACCTAATCAGCTTACTTAAACCTTGATCACTGATCCATGAAATGAGGTCAAGGTCATGTGAACCCTCTTTGACAGATATATAGGCATTACAAGGAACTCATATATACAAGAAGAATGTGTCCAAAGTAAACAGATTCCCCACTCGCACTATCATTTTCTATGTTCAGTGGAATGTAAAATTAGAGGTCAAAACTGTAATTTGGCATTACAATTAGAAAGATGATATCATAGGGAACATGTGTACTAAGTTTCAAGTTGATTGGACTTCAACTTCATCATCAACTACTTGACCAATAACTTTAACCTGAAGTGGGCTACTGACGGACAGACAGACAGATTAACGAACTAACGTACAGACCGAAAAACATAACGCCCTTAGCTGGGGCATAACAATTATATTATTCATAATAAGTGAGAGATTCATATGACAAAAAAACTGAAATTTTTTAAATGTTTTTCAACACTAACCACCTGGTAGATATATATTTTATGGTTTTGCTGAACAATGAATATGAGGTCAAGGAATAGGAACACATGACAGAAGGAAACTTCTTAGCATTAGGTATCTGCATCCAGGTCTTCTCCCTAATTAAATTAAAAGCTTTATACAAATAGTTCACACTGCTGCAGCCAGATAGTAATCCCTAAGTCTTGCATAGTGCGATTTTTTTTCACCAGTTAAAAAGATCATTTTCTTTATAATTCTATGAAAAATAATTTTATTTTAGATAATCAATCAAGTCATTGTCTTTGAAGATGCAGACACACACAAGCAAATTCAGTCCCTTCTATCCAAACCACTTTGATTGCTTTTCCTTGAAGGAGTAGGGCAAAAACTTCATGGTCCAGTCCATTATAAATAATCAAAACTTCTCCAGGCTTTAATTCATCCAAAAGGGTAGTATGTCCACGGTCTTGGTTGAGACATCTTATAACATGCTGCCGCCAAGACATTATATTTGACTCTGATAGCTCTATGTCTCTGTTACAACAATGTATGTAGATCATTATGTAGTTCTTCTGGAAAATCTACAAACAGAAATAAAAATATTTAAATACAAATGTATTAGACTAATACAATTAGTGCCAATTAATGGTACATGTATGATCATGTTAAAAAAAAAATTGTAAGCATGAAAATCATAGAAATCAAATGTCATAACAGATAAATTCTAGTCCAACTCAAGTTAATTCATACAAAGTTTTGTTCTATTTCAACTACATTTATCACTTTCATGAAAATTGTAATTTCAAGAATTAATGTTGGCCAGAATGCCAACTGATTTTAAAAGATGATTAAGGAATGATCAGATTTTTTTTTTTTTGCATTATGGAGAAATAAACTACTCAATGTTGTACTTGTAGTTCACAATAAGTAACTTGGAAGCGGATTATGTACATGTGTGTACAACAAAATTCAATTCAAATAAACCGAGAAAAAAAATAACCCCCAATTCTATACTTTATTTAAAACATGGGTTTAATACAAAAATTACCTGTTTACTCAACAGGCATGTGATGTCAAAAACTCAAAACAACTGTTTAATTTTGTTTTTTAAAATTGAAGTAAAAATCTTCCTACATTATATTTTTGCATCAAAATGAGTATTGCTCTGGGAGAGGAAAAAATTGAAAAGTGAAAGTAGATAGTTATAAATAAATTTGATAAATATAGAAAAATAAAGTTTGCTAAATAGTAAATTTATTGTTCTATATTTATCTGATCCACGTTTTGAAAAAAATGTGGGCTCTTTGAAGTGTTGTTGTCATATGTATTAGTATGTTAAGTTTTGCAATACCATAATTTGCATTTATTGACAACCCTGCATACCAAGGTAACCATTTCATGAGACT